AAGGATTTCGGAATTAGAAAGCGCTGACTCCTTGTCAGTGCTTTCGGGAGAAGAAGCTGGGAAGGTCTCACTGTGGATGTAGGGTTCTGTGAAGGTGGAATAGTTAATTAAGACAGTGGGAGGAGTACCATTATATTGCTTCAGGAGGTTGACGTGGCACAGCTGGGTCTTCCGCCGCCTATCTGGAGTCTCTATTACGTAGTTGTTATTATTCCTGCACTCTTTGACGCGGTAGGGTCCTGAAAACCTGTTTTGTAAAGGTGAACCTGGGATAGGGAAAAATGCAAGGATGAAGTCTCCCGGCTTGAATTTTCTTACTTTGCTGGTCTGGTCGTAATGAGTCTTCATTCTCTCCTGGGCTTTCAATAGATTATTATGGGCAAAACGGTGGACTCTCTCTAGAATGTGTTGAAGGTTTTGAAGAAACTGGGGCACATTCTGATGCTCACTGAAGGTGGCATCTCTGAGAGAGTCTTTGAAAGCCTTAAGGGGAGTACGGCACTTACGGCCGTAGAGCATCTCATAAGGAGATACTCCTAGGGACTCATTGGGGAGACTTCTGAAAATACACATTATAAGGTCAATCTGCTTATCCCAATCCTTCGAGGTTTCACTACAAAACTTTTTCAAGAGTGCTTTGATAGTCTGATGACTACGTTCAAGAGAACCCTGTGAAGCAGGATGATAGGGGCTGGACAATACCTGTTTGATGTTGAACTCCTCCAGTGTCCTTTTGAAGAGATCACTGGTGAAGTTGGTACCACAGTCGCTTTGAATCTCCCTGGGAAATCCGTATTGAGTGAAGATCTTCAATAGATGTTTTATAACCGTAGCAGCCGTGATGTTCTTCACTGGAACTGCTATGGGAAATCTGGTGGTAGGACACAGGATGGTTAGGATGTAGGCGTTACCTGAACTGGTCCGAGGTAAAGGACCAACACAGTCTATTATGAGTCTGTGGAAAGGTTCCGCAGGCACCTGTATGGGAATCAGTGGCGCTCTGGGAATGGAGATGTTCGGTTTTTGCCTGCCATCTGACATGTATGACACTGTTTTACGTACCGTTTGACGTTATTTACCATACCTGGCCAGTAGTAGTCTTGACGAATCCCATGGTAAGTCTTGTTGAAGCCGTAGTGGGAGAATGCTCCGTGGGCCAGGTGTAGAATAGTGGGCCGCAGGCTGGTAGGAATCACAAGTTGTTCGATGTTGGCCCAATCGTCCTCCTCCTTCAGTTTACTGGGTCTATATCTGCGGTAGAGCAAGTCGTTCTCTAGGAAGAACCCAGGAATACTGTCGGGTTGAGTCTCAGCCTGGAAAAACAATGGTGTTAAAGTAAGATCTTCCCTCTGCAACTTACGGAACTCCAACTTGGTCAGATGTGGGGGGAGTTTCTGAGGGTCTTGAGGGACAGCGGTAGCAGTAGAGTCAGCTGGCTGTGGACATGCGGCTTGTGCACGGGTGGTCACGAGAACCGGAGGAGAAACTTCATCACTCTCTTGAACCTCTGCTGGAACATACTCTAGAATAGGGTTACTTGGCACAGAGTTACACACCTGGGGTTTGTCCATGACGATCAGGTTGGTCGGTTGCAGGTCTTCTGCCAAGTCGTTGCCTAGGAGAAGTTGTACTCCAGGCATGGGAAAAGGCTTTTCCCTGACGGCGACTTGGACTTCCCCGTTCACGTAGGGACAATCCAGGTGGACTCTGGCGAGAGGGTATGGAGTGGTAGCAGTGAGGTCAGTGATGAAGACAGTTTCTCCGGTGTAGGTGATGTTGGGCACAGCCGACTTCAAGATGATCGATTGTAGAGCCGCTGTGTCCCTCAAGATCTTCAATTTGAAACGTCCCTCCGGATTTGAACCGTTGGCAGAGACAGTTCCAGTATACAGGTGGTTACTGAAAAGAGAAAGATCATTAACCTCAACACCAACATTCATCACAGGCTTACCGGACTTAGGAGGAGTGGGTTTGGGTCTTTGTTGGTCAGTGATTCCCTTGTATTGAGACTTACCACACTTGTCTATGGTATGTCCATAGAGTCTACAATACTTGCAGTACAGTTGTGAACCAGCTTGATCGGGGCTCACCTTCTCGTAACTGTACCACGACTTCTTACTGGAGGATGGTTCGGGTGTCAGCCGGTGGATGAGGCTGTAAGTGTCAGCCGACTTAGCACACTTCAGGTAGTCGGTTTCTTCTTTATCTGCTAAGTAGAGGCGGACAGGAGGCGGCACACGTCTCAAGAATTCTTCAACAAGCATCAGGTTGACGAGTTCTGTAAAAGTAAAGACATGTGCTGCTTCCAGCCATTTCATGAAATACCTCCGTTTCGTGTTAGCAAACTCAAGGAAGGTAGTGGTACTTGCCTTCAGGTGGTCACGGAATTTCCTTCTATAACTTTCGGTGGAAAGTAGGTAGGCGTCCAACACTGCTTGTTTCAGAGTGTGGTAGTCATTCTCAGACGCCAAAGTACTGAGTGTGACTGCAGCTCTACCTGTAAGATGGACTCTGAGAAGTGTGGCCCATTGGTCGACAGGCCAACTGAGTTGATTAGCAAGAGTTTCAAAGGTGGTGAAAAACACATCAACTTCTGCTTCTACAAAGGATGGCATTAACTTACTTGCGTGTGATATATTAAAACTGACGGGAAGATTGGCAGTAGCTTGCTGGCGTTGAGCGAGGTGGGAAGTTTCCAACGTGTATTCTCGTTGACGACACTCAAGAGCCAGAGTCGCTTGTTGCTTGTCATGTTCACGTTGCATTTCCAACTCGCGTTGTTTGGTTTCAAGCCGTATGCGTTCCCGCTCCTGGAGTAAGGCAATCTCACGTTCTTGTTCGTCCCTCCGTATGGCAGCTGTTCGTTCTTCAATCTTGGCCAGCTCTAGTTTGAGTTTCAGCGTTGCCAAATCAGTTTTTTCTGCAATATAGTAAGTTTCATGAGTTTCAGAGTCTATCTTACCTTGCTCTAAATAGTAATCCAGCAACAGGTTGTGTAGGTCATTTTGTTGGCTTGGTAGGGAACTTCTAGTTGATACTCGTGTGCAAGAGTTTGTAATTCAGTCTTCTTGGCACGACTTAAAGTCCCTATTTCACCTGCTGGATTTGCACGGAAAGCTTGGAGACGAAACATGGTGAAATTAGCAAATAAAGGTACACGAATATTCAATAGTGAATGTCAGAAACAGGACAACGTGGCAACTGGTACCTATCCTGTGAGATCTTTAACAATTAAAGTTAAGTAAAAGATATTAAATGATTAAATTAAATCAAGGGCGCAGGAAATCTTGTACCCGGTACTCATGTAAGAGGATAAGGGCAAGAAAATCCTACTAACAAATGAAACAGAGTTTCGAAAACAAATGAAACAGTTAAATGCTTCAAAAGTAAAATTGGTAGTCCAAGGATGTAGGCATACCTTGCCAAGTCTCTATAGGACATAAAGCAAGTTTTTCCTACTGAATTTAATATGATACTTACAGAATTAGCGAACTTTTGTGCTCTGAAAAGTAAGCTAATTCCCTACCGTTGTATGTATCATCATCTCTGACTGACGTGTAGGGGTGCGAGGTGTCAACTGGTGACGAGAACTGCTGCTGAGGTCCCAATTCAGCAACTAAAGTTCGAGCTAGAGGAACTATGGCCCTCTTTGTCCTCCTACAGTCAGATTGCAGAAGATTGGGTACTCTTGACCCGGGGCAGACCACAGTACCAGGGTACCAATATGATGATCTGTCAAAAATGAGAAATATTCAAGGGACAAAGATGGTAAACACGAGTAATAACACGGAGGGAGAGATGACCAATTAAGAGTATGACTGCGGCCTACAGTCACCACGTAATCCAAAGTTGTCTCACCTTCACCATATGTTACTATCGTAATGCACAATACACCGCACCTTATAAAAAATGAAATTGAATATGAAAAATAGTAAAGCTACGTTAACAAAGTTAAATATGCTTACCATAAATTACCACTTGGCACCAGTACCTGAGTGAAGCTCCTAGGACAGGCCCCCATATAACTTATATATGACAGGCCCCCATTGTGACGGTAACGCGTTGGTGTTCGGCTGTTTAAGGCTAGGGGTATGGCCTCGTCACATAGTTATAAAAAAAAAGAAAAAACTGGAACTTCGTCTGTGGTAAGGTAAGGAGAAGACACACAAAACACAAGTAAATTTTAACAATGAAATTTTAATTACGTTAAATAAATCAAAACATAAATAAAATGGACAAACAAATTTGTATAATAAAATCAATCAATCAAAATAATAAGAATAATTAAATGACACAATGAAAAGTTACGTTAAGACAAAATAACAAGAAGTGCAATACAAAAATAAAGGTAAGGTGCTGGAATATTGGCTTTAAGCTACCACCTCTCTCAGTACACGCTTACGTCTAGCCGGGAGAAGTGTTAACTGTGGAAGCACTGAATATTCTGAGGTCTGAGGTCGTGGCGACCCCAGACATCAAGTAGTATGGGGGGGGGGCGAGTGCAGTTGCAGCCAGACCGGCGACCAATCAGCGGAGCCGGTAGTAAGACAGGTAGTTTGGCGGTTTGAGTCTGAACAGGTGTCCCTGGCTGCATACGTTTTGCGCTCTGGCAAACCTTGCTGGTGTTGTTGTCGTTGTTGGACATTTCTTCCATAGTAGTTATATATATTTGTTGCGACGTATTTGTGGAGGGAAGAGCAGGCTCAATCTCTTGAAGGAGATTCTCGTCACAACAGATATTCACAAATTAATAAGCATGCCCTTGAAGGATTTAACGTGACCCAGAATGTTTAACGAGATTTCCCCCCCCCCCCTCTGCCTTGTAGTCAACATTGCTAGATAAAGATAAATCTTAGAGATACACAAATTTGACAATATATATATGATAAAGATTATGAGAGATCAGACAATATATTAAATTGCAAAATGTTAAAAATGTGAGACTAGGAGGTAATATTTATGCCGGTGATAGCATGATAACATGTTCCTTGAAATTGAAATTGAAAATGAAATATGTTTATTGATGTATAAATACCTCAGTGATATCAGTTGTTAACGCCCCGAGGGACATGTGACCTGGTCAACAAGGGTTCACACTTCTCCCCCGTGGGTACGCCTTGAGGCTGATGAACGCTGCACCTTGCAATAAGAACGCAACAGATCATGATACCGTTGAACGCGAGAGAGAGCGCGAGAAGCACTATATAGAGGTTGTATTGAGAGCAGTCAAGAGGTTGTGGGTGGTGGAGGGTGTCTGGTGGTGGTGACGTGTGTTGGGGAGTGTTGGAGAGTCCTGTGGTGGTGGTGGAGGAGGAGGCTGAGAGGGCGGCCACCACCGTCACCCTCCCGGATACGTCCTCGAGGGTGACGTCAGCGCCGGGGAGGAGTTCGAGGACGGCCGGGGAGCGGTCAGACTTCACGGGGAACTTGATCTTGTTGAAGCTGTTGCCCCTCGACGCCAGCGAGAGAGCGCCGCGCGGGACGTCGCCGATGACGCTGTCATGGAGGAGGACCTTAGCGGACTGGTCGACCTTGAGACTCTCCAGGCGGCTGACGCTGGTGCTGTGTATCTTAACTGACACTCGACCATCGCCTCGGACTCGCCCCACCTCCAGCACTCCAACACTGGAGCCGATGAGAGTCAGCTGCTCCTCCAAGTTCCCGAGGCTCAGCTCCCCGATCCTGGAGTCTTGGGCGTGGACACTAGTGAAGGGCTCGGCCAGGAGGTCGAGGGTGACGTTGAGGAGGTTGAGATTCATCCTCGAGCAGGAGGTAGACGGGTGACCCTCGACTCGAGCGTCACCCACGTTCCTGAGGCCGAGGTGGAGGCAGACGGAGCGGTGGAGGGTGAGGTGGTGCAGACGCTGGAGCAAGATCGAGGTCGACCTTCCTGCTGACCTGTCATCCAGCGTCACCTCCTACGGGAGAACGGCAGTTGTATACCACACAGTCAGATATATACTACAACACCCACTTATATGGAACGATTAACCGCCAGATTCAAGTCCGGATAATGCCTCAGGTCTGACCTCACACGGAGGTCCACTGTACACTTCTGGACTTCACATTACGGAAATATACGACAGATTGTATATTTCCGTATATTATATCGATATTATATCAGCTATATTATATCTAACCCGTCTCTCAGGGCCACCACAGTGCCCTGAGACACCCGTCTCTCAGGGCCACCACAGTGCCCTGAGACACCCGTCTCTCAGGGCCACCACAGTGCCCTGAGACACCCGTCTCTCAGGGCCACCACAGTGCCCTGAGACACCGTCTCTCAGGGCCACCACAGTGCCCTGAGACACCCGTCTCTCAGGGCCACCACAGTGCCCTGAGACACCGTCTCTCAGGGCCACCACAGTGCCCTGAGACACCCGTCTCTCAGGGCCACCACAGTGCCCTGAGACACCCGTCTCTCAGGGCCACCACAGTGCCCTGAGACACCCGTCTCTCAGGGCCACCACAGTGCCCTGAGACACCGTCTCTCAGGGCCACCACAGTGCCCTGAGACACCCGTCTCTCAGGGCCACCACAGTGCCCTGAGACACCGTCTCTCAGGGCCACCACAGTGCCCTGAGATACCCGTCTCTCAGGGCCACCACAGTGCCCTGAGATACCCGTCTCTCAGGGCCACCACAGTGCCCTGAGACACCCGTCTCTCAGGGCCACCACAGTGCCCTGAGACACCCGTCTCTCAGGGCCACCACAGTGCCCTGAGATACCCGTCTCTCAGGGCCACCACAGTGCCCTGAGACACCCGTCTCTCAGGGCCACCACAGTGCCCTGAGATACCCGTCTCTCAGGGCCACCACAGTGCCCTGAGACACCCGTCTCTCAGGGCCACCACAGTGCCCTGAGACACCCGTCTCTCAGGGCCACCACAGTGCCCTGAGATACCCGTCTCTCAGGGCCACCACAGTGCCCTGAGACACCCGTCTCTCAGGGCCACCACAGTGCCCTGAGATACCCGTCTCTCAGGGCCACCACAGTGCCCTGTGACACCCGTCTCTCAGGGCCACCACAGTGCCCTGAGACACCCGTCTCTCAGGGCCACCACAGTGCCCTGAGATACCCGTCTCTCAGGGCCACCACAGTGCCCTGAGACACCCGTCTCTCAGGGCCACCACAGTGCCCTGAGATACCCGTCTCTCAGGGCCACCACAGTGCCCTGAGACACCCGTCTCTCAGGGCCACCACAGTGCCCTGAGATACCCGTCTCTCAGGGCCACCACAGTGCCCTGAGACACCCGTCTCTCAGGGCCACCACAGTGCCCTGAGATACCCGTCTCTCAGGGCCACCACAGTGCCCTGAGACACCCGTCTCTCAGGGCCACCACAGTGCCCTGAGAAACCCGTCTCTCAGGGCCACCACAGTGCCCTGAGATACCCGTCTCTCAGGGCCACCACAGTGCCCTGAGACACACGTCTCTCAGGGCCACCACAGTGCCCTGAGATACCCGTCTCTCAGGGCCACCACAGTGCCCTGAGACACCCGTCCCTCAGGGCCACCACAGTGCCCTGAGATACCCGTCTCTCAGGGCCACCACAGTGCCCTGAGACACCCGTCTCTCAGGGCCACCACAGTACCCTGAGACACCCGTCTATCAGGGTCACCACAGTGCCCCTGAGACACCCGTCTCTCAGGGCCACCACAGTGCCCCTGAGACACCCGTCTCTCAGGGCCACCACAGTGCCCTGAGACACCCGTCTCTCAGGGCCACCACAGTGCCCCTGAGACACCCGTCTCTCAGGGCCACCACAGTGCCCCTGAGACACCCGTCTCTCAGGGCCACCACAGTGCCCTGAGACACCCGTCTCTCAGGGCCACCACAGTGCCCCTGAGACACCCGTCTCTCAGGGCCACCACAGTGCCCTGAGACACCCGTCTCTCAGGGTCACCACAGTGCCCCTGAGACACCCGTCTCTCAGGGCCACCACAGTGCCCTGAGACACCCGTCTCTCAGGGCCACCTCAGTGCCCTGAGATACCCGTCTCTCAGGGCCACCACAGTGCCCTGAGACACCGTCTCTCAGGGTCACCACAGTGCCCTGAGACACCCGTCTCTCAGGGCTACTACAGTGCCCTGAGACACCCGTCTCTCAGGGCCACCACAGTGCCCTGAGATACCCGTCTCTCAGGGCCACCACAGTGCCCTGAGACACCGTCTCTCAGGGTCACCACAGTGCCCTGAGACACCCGTCTCTCAGGGCCACCACAGTGCCCTGAGATACCCGTCTCTCAGGGCCACCACAGTGCCCTGAGATACCCGTCTCTCAGGGCCACCACAGTGCCCTGAGACACCCGTCTCTCAGGGCCACCACAGTGCCCTGAGATACCCGTCTCTCAGGGCCACCACAGTGCCCTGAGACACCCGTCTCTCAGGGCCACCACAGTACCCTGAGACACCCGTCTCTCAGGGTCACCACAGTGCCCCTGAGACACCCACTCTCAGGACCACCACAGTGCCCCTGAGACACCGTCTCTCAGGACCACCACAGTGCCCCTGAGACACCCGTCTCTCAGGGCCACCACAGTGCCCTGAGACACCCGTCTCTCAGGGTCACCACAGTGCCCCTGAGACACCCGTCTCTCAGGGTCACCACAGTGCCCCTGAGACACCGTCTCTCAGGACCACCACAGTGCCCCTGAGACACCCGTCTCTCAGGGCCACCACAGTGCCCTGAGACACCCGTCTCTCAGGGCCACCACAGTGCCCTGAGACACCCGTCTCTCAGGGTCACCACAGTGCCCCTGAGACACCGTCTCTCAGGACCACCACAGTGCCCTGAGACACCCGTCTCTCAGGGCCACCACAGTGCCCTGAGACACCCGTCTCTCAGGGTCACCACAGTGCCCTTGAGACACCGTCTCTCAGGACCACCACAGTGCCCCTGAGACCCGTCTCTCAGGACCACCACAGTGCCCCTGAGACACCGTCTCTCAGGGCCACCACAGTGCCCCTGAGACACCCGTCTCTCAGGGCCACCACAGTGCCCACTCTCTCAGGGCCACCACAGTGCCCCTGAGACACCGTCTCTCAGGGCCACCACAGTGCCCCTGAGACACCGTCTCTCAGGGCCACCACAGTGCCCCTGAGACACCGTCTCTCAGGGCCACCACAGTGCCCCTGAGACACCGTCTCTCAGGGCCACCACAGTGCCCTGAGACACCGTCTCTCAGGGCCACCACAGTGCCCCTGAGACACCGTCTCTCAGGACCACCACAGTGCCCACCGTCTCTCAGGACCACCACAGTGCCCCTGAGACTCTCTCAGGACCACCACAGTGCCCCTGAGACACCCGTCTCTCAGGACCACCACAGTGCCCCTGAGACACCTCTCAGTCTCTCAGGGCCACCACAGTGCCCCTGAGACACCGTCTCTCAGGACCACCACAGTGCCCCTGAGACACCGTCTCTCAGGACCACCACAGTGCCCCTGAGACACCGTCCACCGTCTCTCAGGACCACCACAGTGCCCCTGAGACACCGTCTCTCAGGACCACCACAGTGCCCCTGAGACACCGTCTCTCAGGACCACCACAGTGCAGACACCCGTCTCTCAGGGTCACCACAGTGCCCCTGAGACACCGTCTCTCAGGACCACCACAGTGCCCCTGAGACACCGTCTCTCAGGACCACCACAGTGCCCCTGAGACACCGTCTCTCAGGGTCACCACAGTGCCCCTGAGACACCGTCTCTCAGGACCACCACAGTGCCCCTGAGACACCGTCTCTCAGGACCACCACAGTGCCCTGAGACACCCGTCTCTCAGGGCCACCACAGTACCCTGAGACACCCGTCTCTCAGGGTCACCACAGTGCCCTGAGACACCCGTCTCTCAGGGTCACCACAGTGCCCCTGAGACACCGTCTCTCAGGACCACCACAGTGCCCCTGAGACACCGTCTCTCAGGGCCACCACAGTGCCCTGAGAAACATAAACATAGCCTCTACATCTTGAGCTTGTTTTAAACAGTGATTCGCGCGGAAACATTTAACGATGTTCCGAGCTTAACCAATTTTGTCTAGGAGGGAGGGGGTGGTGGTTGTGGGTTGAAGGGGGGGAGGGTTGTGGATTGGTGGAGGGGGGGGAGGAAAGAAGGGGGGGAGGAGGAGATTTAAGTGGCTGATATTACCCCATTACCTAATTATTCTGATCCACGGCTCTATTCATATTTCCTTCATGCAAAGTAGTTCGATAATTAGTCATTTGGTGTGCACGCAAATTGTGTTTTAAATTGTTAGACGATAACAGATGAGGCAGTTATGTTTATATAGGCCTAATGGGTGCATATTTGATGGTGGAACGTATAGGCCTTAAATCAGGCACTGGAATCGGTTATATTTAAGTCATGCAATGCTATGACTCCCCCTAGCACACGATCCATCAATTGTTTTACATCCAGGTGTCTATATAATACCTACCGAATGGTAGAGTGATGACCTCTGCGCCACGGAGCGCCCCTGACCTCAAGAGTGATGACCACTGCGCCACGGAGCGCCCCTGACCTCAAGAGTGATGACCACTGCGCCACGGAGCGCCCCTGACCTCAAGAGTGATGACCACTGCGCCACGGAGCGCCCCTGACCTCATCTGTTTATTATTAGTAGTATTATATCATTTTTATTAGAAGCAGAAAGGCTAAGCTCTAAAAGGATTATTAGCACTGAAACGCACACACACGCGCGCGCACACCCACGTGGCCAATTACCAACTCACCTATTAATAACATCATGTATAATTAATCACGCCGAATCCTCTCTTAATTGAGGAAATTATCCCTCTTTGTGTGACCACGGGTTGAGACACGTTACTGGAACACAGTGGCCACGGGTTGAGACACGTTACTGGAACACAGTGGCCACGGGTTGAGACACGTTACTGGAACACAGTGGCCACGGGTTGAGACACGTTACTGGAACACAGTGGCCACGGGTTGAGACACGTTACTGGAACACAGTGGCCACGGGTTGAGACACGTTACTGGAACACAGTGGCCACGTTCCCACACTATGTCCCACACTCTTCACCCTTACACCCTACACATCTTCACACCACTGGCTTTTTGGAGGAAGACTGGTTTGTAGTTCTGCAGTTGCTTTTAACTGTCTAACTGTTATGTTTAACTGTTTTAACTGTTATGTAATCATCAGCCCCTCTACCCCCCACCAACCCCCTCCTCCTCCTCCTTTGGTGGGAAATTTCCCCTCCCAATGAATGTGCAGAGATTTCAGAGGACCAATGGTGCCTGAGGCGGGGAGTGGGGGGTGATGGGGTGCGTTCAGTCACATCATTAGGGGGGAAAGGCCGCGTTCAGAGTCCTCCTGCGCCTGGCCAGCTGGTATTAGGAGATCCGGTATGAATCTGTCTCTAATGGCGTCCTGTCTTGATGGCTTCCGTTATTCTTTCTTAGTTTGAAGCGGTGGATTCTGGGAGAAAGAATACGAAGGAATGTCTTTCATTTCTTGAGAATGTTGTGATAGTATTATCACTGCTGATTACAACACCAGCCTTACAACCTTGTTCACAAGACGTGGCCATATTTATACTGTGATTGGGGGAGGGAAACACATGACTATTGGTCTCCTCCTGATGCTTGGTATCTCTCTCTGATGCATAGTCTCCCTCTGACGCTTGGTATCTCTCTGATGCGTCCCAGCCAGGCACAAGACATTTTGGCTGACCCCAGCCATCACAAGACATCATGGCTGACCCCAGCCATCACAAGACATCATGGCTGACCCCAGCCATCATGGCTGACCCCAGCCATCACAAGACATACCTGATCTCTCCACTGGTAATCACAGTGAAGTATTGACGTCGTCATCTTGCAGAAAGTGGAGTTCTGTCCCACTGACAGGTGTGGTCTAGGTACCTTCCCTTCCCTTCCTGTCTGTCCCCCCGTCACTGTCCCACCAGACGCCTGGACGGTGCCCGGGGACACCACCACCACCACCAGCAGCAGGAGGATGGTGGTTGGGATGGTGGTTCTACCTCTGTGGATAGTGGTGATGTGCTTGGATTCCATTATGACATCCTGAAAGATAATATATAACAAATATGCAGTTATTACTTCATAAACCTGCTGCTTGGGTAACAGCTTCTCCCCCGAATCAACCTACCCTGGCTTTGCGCCCTGGTGAGGCCACTCCAGACCGACAACCAGAGCACAACTCCATAGTCTCCTGAGACTGATGGATGCCTACTACTACTACCTCATTACGATAATCACCAGCAGTAACTAACATAGTCAAGGATCCACTCAGTGAACTGCATATCCCAATCCGGCCTTCACTAACTAGCCAATCAGAATGCGTCACTTGCCAGTCACGCACTTGACGTGGCACTCAGAGAACACAGCATGTCCCCCCAGCCTCTTCAAGGAACTATAATGCCTTGTTAAAGTGGTAAAAATAATTCCATGATCCCAGCCCGTCGTTAGGCTATGTTCATTCCATCCAGCGGCCGACCCCAAAAGACGCAGTCATAAATTTAACATGCCGCTCTTTCAAAATATAAATATTCTCAAATATAAATTAATGTTATATATATATATATATATATATATATATATATATATATATATATATATATATATATATATATATATATATATATGCCTGTCAAATGCCCACTTGGGGACTGTAAGCTCCAAAAAACCCAGTATATAGGCAAGACAACAACATCTCTTTCTAGGCGTTTAACGATGCATAAGCAACAGGGCTCCATTAAGGAACATATAATCTCTTCCCACAACCAAACCATCGCCAGAGAAATCCTAGTAAACAACACAGAAATCATCGATAGATACAGCGATAGCAGGCGGCTTGACGTTTGCGAGGCACTACACATCAAGAAGTCAACACCAGCAATCAACAGCCAATTATTGCACAACTATATTCTACCCACCTCAAGACTCCGCTCCAATATAGAAGCATCAAGAAATATGGACCAATAGGCTTTCTACAAACACTTCTATTCAATACCCATTGTTTGTGTTCTGTCTTGTGTTGATACTTTTAATACCCTATTAATATCCCCTCTTGTTCTGTCTTGTGTTAATGCCACATCACCCCTCCCACCTCACTCAAATGTAGATATAAAATCGGAGATACGTAAGTTCTATTCAGTTGTGTATTTGTGAACTAAAGTCTTTGAAAATGTAATAAGTTTTACGAAACGCGCCCGTGTCGCGTCAGACTAGAAATAAAAATGAATTTTGGAGAATTGATTTTTGATTTACCTCCAACAGTGAAGCGTAATGTACGAAAGATTGAGAAAATTCGTGTTAGAATTATTAATCTTACTTTTTCGGTCATATTTAATAATATATATATATATATATATATATATATATATTTATATATATATATTGTTGAGAAGATGTGTGTGTGTGTGTGTGTGTGAAACAGACAGCTGAACAATGAGATAAGACGTTAAAGGCATCTTTTTCTGGAGGAAATGGAAAAGTATATATGCAGAGATACAGAACACATATATATATATATATATATATATATATATATATATATATATATATATATATATATATATATATATATATATATATATATATATATATATATATATATTGTGACGGTAAAGCGTTGGTGTTCGGCTGTTTCAAAAGCTGGGGGCAGGGCCTCGTCACATAACAAAATAAAGAGAAGTTTGTCCTTTTGTCTGTGGTAATGAAATTTTAATTACTCTAGAAAACAAGATATGAATGAAGACAATCTCGTAAAATTCAAAACAAGTCAACCAACAAAACAACATGAATAATTACTGTCAGTGACAAATTTTACTCGAAGACAAACAAGTGCAAGTAATATAAATAAGGTGAGGTACTGAGAATACTGGCTTCAAGCTGCCACCTCCCTTAGTACACGACAGCCAAGGCTTGTCTACTATAGAGAGATGTCAACTCCAAGGAGCACAGGGATATTCTGAGGAGACGGCGTGCTGCTGGCCCAGACGTCGACTCATGTAGTGGCGTGAGTGCAGGTGCGGCGACACACCAGCCAATCAGCAACAGGCAGGCGGAGAATGAGTAGTTTGCTGGTTTGACGGCGGGCGGTAGCCGGTGTGTCGGGTTGTGCATGGTACGCTTTGCTTCCTGGGCAAAACGTTTGCCGATACTGGTGGACGTATCTTCAATATAGTATCTTGTACTTGAAAGACGTAAATGTGTTGGGAAGAGCAGGCTCAATCTCTCTTGAAAGAGATTATCGTCACAATATATATATATATATATATATATATATATATATATATATATATATATATATATATATATATATATATATATATGTCGTACCTAATAGCCAGAACGCACTTCTCAGCCTACTATTCAAGGCCCGATTTGCCTAATAAGCCAAGTTTTCATGAATTAATGTTTTTTTCGTCTACCTAACCTACCTAACCTAACCTAACCTAGCTTTTTTTGGCTACCTAACCTAACCTTACCTATAAATATAGGTTAGGTTAGGTTAGGTAGGGTTGGTTAGGTTCGGTCATATATCTACGTTAATTTTAACTACAATAAAAAAAAATTGACCTCATACATAGAGAAAAGGGTTGCTTTATGATTTCATAAGAAAAAAATTATAGTAAATATATTAATTCAGGAAAACTTGGCTTATTAGGCAAATCGGGCCTTGAATAGTAGGCCGAGAAGTGAGTTCTGGCTACTAGGTACGACATATATATATATATATATATATATATATATATATATATATATATATATATAGAGAGAGAGAGAGAGAGAGAGAGAGAGAGAGAGAGAGAGAGAGAGAGAGAGAGAGAGAGAGAGAGAGAGAGAGAGAGAGAGAGTTGGTCGGGTGTCTGGCTGTTCTCAGAATAGTCTTGTCTCCTCCTCTCTCTCTCTCTCTCTCTCTCTCTCTCTCTCTCTCTCTCTCTCTCTCTCTCTCTCTCTCTCTCTCTCTCTCTCTCTCTCTCTCATTATCTACCACTGGTGTGTGGGTGGTCTGCTGGCGGAAGGAGCTTAGTGATGTGAAATATTAAAAATAAAATAGTTATCCCTGTGCTTTGATAAAGGCTCGAGACTTGAAAAAGCCTTTTAAGCCGTGGAATTATTGTCGTTTTTATGCTATTACAGCCAAAGTAAGAATAGGAGAATATTTTATGTTAATTGTTCCAAATCAGTGAATAATGGTGTATATTTCAGTAATAAAAACTGTTTAGAAATGTTACAGCTCCTGTAAATGATATCCCATGTCGCCTTTTCATCTTTATGAGGTCATGTATGTGTGTTTCAGGATTTACACGTAAGTAAATGTATTTTTTACATCATACTGGAATGTCTTCCCTAGGGGCCCATTATCCTCCCCTAAGGGGACGATGTGGACACATTTATAATGCAGTGTTAGTGTGGGAGACTAGCCGGGAGACATCTCCCGTCACGCAGGGTGCAGTCGCACCTCCACAGATCTCCAGTATCAGCTCTTGATACTGGTAATGGCTCCAAAGGGCCACCACTTACGGGCTATTCATGCCCGTGCCACCTTTTGGGTGGCTTAATGTTCATCAATCAATCAATGGTAGACTGACACCGTGGAGACAGCGGAAGGGGGATGCGAAAGCATGACAGCATGAATACACATTATGGGATATTACATGTAAAGTATGGTAGAACTTTTTTGAACATTTTATGGACATCAGTGTTTAATGTTTTACATTACAGTAAGAAAAATATCAATAATTCCGTGACCAATTTATAAGATATGGCGAAATATATCATGTTGGTTCCATTGACACCATGATATATGACACTTGTTTCATTTATGACTACCGCAAACAGACTATGTTGGGCACGTACCCAACAACAATTACTGTTAAAAATTGGGTGAGGCTTGTCCCAACTGTCTGGATCTGGACAAGCTCAGTAAAAAAAATAGTAAATGCCCAAAGATATGCAACAACTCCCGTTGCTGAGCTGAAGAGATTGACTTACGAGGAAAGACTGAAGTAACTGGACCTCACCACACTGAAGGAAAGGAAGAATTTGAGGGGATATGATAACAACATACAAGATTCTAAAGAGAACTGACAAAATAGACAAAGAAGCAATATACAGATGAGTCAGACATCCCGAGGACGCCTCACCTTATCTATACAAGGATACTGAGCGAGAAAACCGTCCTTGAATGATGTGTGTTGTCTTACCAGCAGACTCTAAGGCCTACGTCTATCTTGAGGTTATCTTGAGATGATTTCGGGGCTTTAGTGTCCCCGCGGCCCGGTCCTCGACCAGGCCTCCACCCCCAGGAAGCAGCCCGTGACAGTTGACTAACACCCAGGTACCTATTTTACTGCTAGGTAACAGCAGCATAGGGTGAAAGAAACTCTGCCCATTGTTTCTCGCCGGCGCCTGGGATCGAACCCAGGATCACAAATCCAGTGTGCTGTCCGCTCGGCCGACCGGCTCCCCGAAGACGTCACCGACATTGTCTGAAGAAGCTCCACCACAGTGGACTTCATAGACATATTTATATCCCAGGCTTCCTGTGGCTATCTCACAGCTACAGGAAGCCTAACAGAATACACAGAATAAACTATAGTTCCAAGCCTATTACACCGAACACACAACATGTCAGCTCTTCCTCTCCCAGGAAGAAATAAGCCTATGACACAGCCTACTCGCTGATGCCATCAAGGATATTATTGTGGTTCATAACTCACCTGAATGGCACCTCAGGCAGCGTGCTGGACATACTGAACCGGTGGAATAATGACTAAATTCACTATCTTATCAACTGATAACACACACCCCTACACCTCCCATGATCGATACCTCTTGCCATTGCTGCAACTGCCTGTTGCAACCCGTTCTCGCACTTGCTTAAGTCAATATTGGCTTATTTAATAAGTGCATATGTGACATATTAATTGATTGTAAATATTTTAGTTTACCTTGAAAAGCTTCATAGAAAACACCGACCTCACCTAACCTTCTTAGTATGTTAAGATAAGCATCTTATTGCTTCATATTTACAATTATTACTTAACCTATCAACGGTATAGGTTAGGTAATAATTGTAATTAAGAAGCAATAAGATGCTTATCTTAACATACTAAGAAGGTTAGGTGAGGTCGGTGTTTTCTATGAAGCTTTTCAGGGTAAACTAAAATATTTACAATCAATTAGTATGTCACATATGCACTTATTAAATAAGCCAATATTGACTATACGCAAGTGCGAGAACGGGTTGCCTCCTCACATACACACCTTGAGATGAGCCAACTACCTTGTTGGCACTCAGTTTAGACACTTATTGTAAGTCATTTTCAATGCCTCAGCCTTTGCAGGTGAGATTTGCGGCACTTGTGAAACTTTTAAATTGCGTAAACTTTTTCTAAATGAAAGAAATGAACTGCAGACATGAACTGAATTCTCAGCGTCTCGCTCTCTCTCTTGTCTGCGGCCTCCAGCAGCATCCACACTCCTGCTGGAGACAAGAACTTGAGCATCAGTATATCTCCTCTTATCGTAAGATGCTCACTCATCTTGTTAGAGACATTAATAACTCATATTTCAAGCACTAGTGAGGCGTCCAGCACAAGATTTTGTCAACAAATATATATATATATATATATATATATTTGGCACGAGGACTTATGGTGTAAGATATATTCATTAACACGTGACCTGTTTGCTGATACAATAATAGGCGAACTATTTGTATGCAGTTGTTGTCATGGAGAAATGACTTGTTACTGAGTAATGTGATTTGTTATATATGCTGTGTATACAATTGTGAAACCAGTTAATCTGTGATATATAGAGAGCAACCGCTGGACATGCAAACTAGATAACGTCATCATTATAAGATGATGAGGATGATGATGATGATGTGTGTGTGTGTGTGTAATTACCTAAGTATAATTATCTAAGTGTAGTTACAGAATGAGAGCTACGCTCGTGGTGTCTCGTCTTCCCAGCACTCTTTGTCATATAACGCTTTGAAGATTTGAACACACTTGAAGTGTGTGTGTGTGTGTGTGTGTGTGTGTGTGTGTGTGTGTGTGTGTGTGTGTGTGTGTGTGTGTGTGTGTGTGTGTGTGTGTGGAGCCTCCTCCCTTCGTCTCATTCTCCCTCACTCCCTTCCTTTCTCACTCATGTTTCGCCTTTTTTTTCCATTCCTTCTTCCCTGCCATTCTAACCTTCCATCATTTCCTGCATCCCTCCATTTCCACCCTCTCCATTCCTTCTCGTTTTTGTCTCTCTTCCTCCCTTGTTCACCTACCTCTTTTTTTCTCTCTCTTGCCCCTCTATCTCTCAATCTCCCTCCCTCACCTCTTCCCTCCCTCTCTCACCTCTTCTGACTTTCATAATTACAAACCAACACTCATTAAGGAACAGGAGCTCACGTGGGAGAAATTTAAATACTAATGTTAAAGGTGTGTTAGTTAAGATGGTCTCTGTCTGTGTTGTCTGTCTGTCTACTGTGTGTGTGTGTGTGTGTGTGTGTGTGTGTGTGTGTATGTGTGTATGTGTGTATGTGTGTGTGTGTGTGTGTGTGTGTGTGTGTGTGTGTGTGTGTGTGTGTGTGTGTGTGTGTGTGTGTGTGTGTGTGTGTGTGTACTCACCTAATTGTGCTTGCGGGGGTTGAGCTCTGGCTCTTTGGTCCGTGTGTGTGTTGGTCCGTGAATGTGTGGATGTCTGTCTGTTCACACATTCTTAGCGTACGACTGTCTACCTTCTCTGTCTCGATATATTTATTTTTAGACATGGTCGACTATATTAATAAATTAGTCGGTATTAATAACTTATATTAATAGGTTCTCCATTAATAAACAACTCCTAAAGACTGTAAAGAATTATCTCGTTTCTCTTAATAGACATAAATTACTATGAAACCTAATGCTGGAGATTAGACATAGCCAAAGTACTTTTTTTGAGATATATACAAGAGTTGTTACATTCTTATACAGCCACTAGTACGCGTAGCGTTTCGGGCAAGTCCTTAATCCTATGGTCCCTGGAATACGATCCCCCGCCGCGAAGAATCGTTGTTACAACCAAGTACACATTTTACTGTTGCGTTAAACAGAGGCTACAGTTAAGGAATTGCGCCCAGTAAATCCTCCCCGGCCAGGATACGAACCCATGACAAAGCGCTCGCGGAACGCCAGGCGAGTGTCTTACCACTGCACCACGGAGACTGGTATAGACTTTATTTCATGTATAGCATTCATTAATTCACTCACCAACACTCAGCTTACACCTAGGGACAGCTGAGTACCATCTGTTGTTGTTTAAGATTCGCTGTCTGGAACAAAAAGTTCCAAGTAGCACGGGCTATGGTGAGCCCGTAGAGGACTTAGTGCCATCTACACGACCAAGACAGAACTACCAGATGACAACCACGCCCCCACCGGAGCCAGCCGACCAATGAACATGCAGGACAAGAGTGCCTAGTTACCTCACCAGGGTAACAACCTCGGGTACTAATCATTTGTACTAACGACCGTAACTATAAGACCAGCAGTAGATGTGGAAAGAATTATGCTAAGATTAGATACACACAGAAAATCCCACTGCTTGATACCTGGTTGATGCCTGGTTGATACCTGGTTGATGGGGTTCTGGGAGTTCTACTCCCTCTAAGCCCGGCCCGAGGCCAGGCTTGACTTGTGAGAGTTTGGTCCACCAGGCTGTTGCTTGGAGCGGCCCGCAGGCCCACATACCCACCACAGCCCGGTTGGTCCGGCACTTCTTGGAGAAAACTATCTAGTTTTCTCTTGAAGATGTCCACGGTTGTTCCGGCAACTTTTCTTATACTAGTATAACTTACTTGTACAACATTAGCGATATACACATTAAAGTATACCTCGTCAGCGATGGTAGGGCAGTAGAGTATGCGACTGGTGATGCCCTGGTCGCGGGTTCGCATCCCCTCCCAGCCCCAGAGGATTTTCTCACGAAGATAATTATCAGGGGAAAGCGCCAAGCCATTACGATCATATAGCACTGGGAAGGGGTCAGGATATAAGGATTTGGGATGGAACGGGGGAGGGGGAAGGAATGATGCCCAACCGCTTCGACATTTCTCACTAAGATCAGCCTTATTTTTCCCTCTCTTACACTCAAATTTCTCTATAACCCCCCACCCCTTCCCCAAACCACTTGGGCTAGACGGTAGAGCGACGGTCTCGCTTCATGCAGATCAGCGTTCAATCCCCGACCGTCCACAAGTGATTGGGCACCATTCCTTTCCCTCCCCCGTCCCATCCCAAATCCTTATATCCTGACCCCTTCCCAGTGCTATATAGTCGTAATGGCTTGACACTTTCTCCTGATAGTTCCCTTCCCTCACCCCCCCCCCTTTCTCTCTCTCTTCCAATTCCTTACCTCCTCCTTCGTTCTCTCACTCCCTTCCTCACCTCCCATTTATCCGACAACACACAAACAAAAACTTCAAAACAAACTTGAACTTCGTGAAATGAAGTCAGGACTCAAGAGGTTCCTTTGTCTCACGTCTCCAGTTTCAGTTTTATTCTCTTTACCTGCGGGGCTCGAACGCGGTCCAGACGCCACTCACACTTAAGTCCCCGCTCTCATCACCACCTGTAAGATCAACAACCCTTTGTGCCGAAGGTTTGAGGTTGGTCTTACGGCCTATCAAACTCTGGAGGGTTGTTAAGGTCTATATCAACCTCTGGAGGGTTATTAAGGCCTATATCAACCTCTGGAGGGTTGTTAAGGCCTATATCAACCTCCGGAGGGTTATTAAGGTCTATATCAACCTCTGGAGGGTTATTAAGGTCTATATCAACCTCTGGAGGGTTATTACGGTCTATATCAACCTCTGGAGGGTTATTAAGGTCTATATCAACCTCTGGAGGGTTATTAAGGCCTATCAACCTCTGGAGGGTTATTAAGGCCTACCAACCTCTGGAGGGCTATTAATGCCTACCAACCTCTGGAGGGTTATTAAGGCCTACCAACCTCTGGAGGGTTATTAAGGTCTATATCAACCTCTGGAGGGTTATTAAGGCCTATATCAACCTCTGGAGGGTTAGTAAGGCCTATCAACCTCTGGAGGGTTATTAAGGCCTATCAACCTCTGGAGGGTTAGTAAGGCCTATATCAACCTCTGGAGGGTTAGTAAGGCCTATCAACCTCTGGAGGGTTTTAAGGCCTATATCAACCTCTGGAGGGTTATTAAGGTCTATATCAACCTCTGGAAGGTTATTAAGGTCTATATCAACCTCTGGAGGGTTATTAAGGCCTATATCAACCTCTGGAGGGTTAGTAAGGCCACCACAATAGCCATATTATATTATTGTACTCTTAAGAACATCACTATTATATTAGGAACATGAATTAATGAACATTAGGTTAGGTTAGGTTAGGTTAGGTTAGGTTAGGTTAGGTTAGGTTAAATTAAATTGGGTTGGGTTTGATAAAATTGCTATGATAGTTTTGAATGACAGTAAAAAAATATAAATCATATGTAATGGAAAGCTATATCATTACATCCATAAGAAAAAATAGAGAGAGAGAGAGAGAGAGAGAGAGAGAGAGAGAGAGAGAGAGAGAGAGAGAGAGAGAGAGAGAGAGAGAGACAGACAGACAGACAGAGAGAGGGAGAGAGAGACAGAGACAGACAGACAGAGAGACAGAGACAGACAGACAGACAGACAGACAGACAGACAGACAGACAGACAGACAGACAGACAGAGATACAGACAGACAGACAGACAGACAGACAGACAGACAGACAGACAGACAGATAGACAGACAGACA